GCCCCCCCCTCCCCCGGAGCCAGCCCCGCGCCCCTCCCAGCCAGTTCCCCCCCTCTGCCCCCGATCAAGTGTGTCCGGTTTTTTTTTAGACTACCTGGTAACCATAGCCGCAGGGGGCAGGGTGGGTGCCCAAGCCATTGTGCACGTGGGGATGGGGCGAGTCCTGGACGGTGCTGGGGGCCGCAGGGGCAGGCAGGGGACCTAGGGTGGGCAGGGCTGCCCCTGCAGCGCAGCGGGTTATTTTTTATTTTTACAGGTTGCGATCGGGCCCGATGGGGTCCAAAAGTACCTTAAAACCTTCTCCTGGAGGAAAGGTTGTCCCATGGAAAGTATGGTTGCGGTAGCTCTTATAGTGTCCAAGTTATTAGAGCACAAACATACAGACATTCTCCTTTATATATTAGATAGAATCCTAGAACTGGAAAGGACATCGAGAGGTCATCAAGTCCAGTCCCCTGCCCTCCCAGTGGGACCAAGCACCATCTAGAATAAAGGGGATATCTGCGAATTTGCAGGGCTTTAAGTAACTGGAGGCCAATGAGAGAAGGCAGTGTCTGAGCCAGCATGGCAGCTACAATACCAGGGAACAAGCTGGCTAACAGGTCTTGAGGGCTTCAGTAGGAATTCCAGGATGGGAAGGAAATTTCCCTTGGGCTCCTCTGAGCAACCTATATTTTTGATCTATAATTAATACATGGGCTTCCCCACCACAGTCTCAAAGGCAGCAGCTCCAGTAACTCCAAATGGCCATTCTGGATAGTGGTCAGCAGCACCCGCCCCCAGCAGGGCAGCTCCACTCCAAGAAGACAGATAATGAAGAGTAATACAGTGGCCGATAGAGCCAATGGCCCATCCTGGAGCTACGTCCTATTGCAGGTAAGTCGGAAGAACATTAGTCCGGGGGGAATTTTGCAATTGTTGCATTTAGAGCCATAGCAAAATTGCCGAACTCCCCCAGGACTGGAACATGCAAGAACACCCGGTATAATACGTTGCCATGGAGAAAATACTTTCCTGTCTCCCAGTGTGGGCATCATTTTATACCCTGGAGCATGGTGATTGATAGCCCTTAAAATTAACATTCTGGCCAGTACTATCTATATTTGTATGTGACTAATGTGGGATATTTACCAAGTAACAGAGGGTAGGTCTAGACTACATGGCTCTGTCGACGGAGCCATGTAGATTTGTTTGTTCAGCGATTAAATAACCGTGGTTTCATTTAAATTTAAATGGCTGCCCCGCTCTGACGATCAGCTGTTTGTCGGCAGATTGGGGCAGTCTGGACGCTCCCCTGCCAACATAAAAGCCCTTTATCGACCTCCCCGGTAAACCTCATCCTATGAGGCATAACAGGGAGGTCGATTAAGGGCTTTCAGGTCAGCACGGGAGCGTCCAGACTAGCGCGCTGAGCCGACAAACAGCTGATCAGCTGTTTGTCGGCTCAGCGCGGCAGCCATTTAAATTTAAATGAAGCCACGATTATTTAAATCGCGGCTTCATTTCCCTTTGCGGATCAGCCTAATCTACATGGCTCCATCGATGAAGCCATGTAGTTTAGACACACCCAGACTTACTGCAGTAGAGCATGAGACTTACATGAAAAGTTGATCCTTTCCAAGCATCTCCCCTCCCCGGCTCAGCTTCAGTCGGAAGGGGATCTCACTCTTGGCAGAGCACGTGACCTAGGCAAGATTGCTCAGGAAGTCTGGAATACAAAACACTTAATAGCTCTTTTCTATTGTTCCAAAAAGAGAGAGAGAGAGAGAGAGAGAGAGAGAGAGAGAGAGAGAGAGAGAATAGAACATTGAGAACTTGATTGGAGATAAGAGGGAAAAATACACGAAAAAGCAAACTGGTTCCTTATGCTGAAACAGAATGGTCTTTGCTTTAAAGAATGAGCAATCCTTGGATATGTCTAGACTACAGGCTTTTGTTGACAGATACTGTCGACAAAGCTTCTGTCGACAAAGAGTGTCTAGACTAAATCCAGTTCTATCGACAAAGCAAGACGCTTTGTCGACATAACAGTGTAGACGCAAAGGACAGTGTAGATGCAATAATGCCTTCCGTCTACAGAACTCTGTCGACAAAAGGCATTATTCCTTGTAGAATGAGGTTTACCGCGGTCGACAAAACTGCTGAGTTCTGTCGACGTTATGTCGACACTCAGCGGCAGCGTAGCTGCAGGTATAATTTTGTTGACAAAAGTGGACTTTTGTCGACAAAACCCTGTAGTCTAGACACACCCCCGACTGGCTGCTGATGCTTTGTCCTGCCTACTCGCTATAGCAGCTACAGTGAGGGCCCCATTCTGTCTTCTTCTTTCAAATGTCGTGTTCAATGCTATATTTCTTTGTCAAAGTTGGACATCCAAACTGTACAGCTAGCAAGCAGCGTTGCTGGTTAGATTGTGGAGATCCTCCAGTAAGCCTGTACATTTTTGTGTTGGGCATTCTGCAACAATGTGGTGCATAGTTTGTGGACTGCCATGATCACAAAGTGGAGATGGCAACAAATTCCATTTATGCAGTAGATAACCGCACCTGCCCTGACCCGTCCTAAGCTGGTTTAGAACCCACCACAGACTCCGGGGAGGATCAAAACCTTTCTGCTCAGTGGTGGGATCTGACACAAGATGTTTGTTTGGGACGTCAACTTGCTGCCATTCAGCTCGCCATAATTCCTTACCATTGGCCGTGACTTCCTTCACTCACTGCCAGGGAGGCTTGCGGGATTTTAGATGCGATGTTGGAGGCTGATGGAGGTATTTCTGGATGAGAAGAGGTTGGTTGCTGTGGTTGATACATTGGTATAGTCTGCATTCCTACTGCCGTGGTGGGTCTACGGCAGTGGGCTTTAAAGTCCCCATTATCACATGCATGGCACTGTTCAGTTGAGTGTTGACTAGCTTTGTGTGGGCGCTTTCTGCCCACACAGGAGAGCAATATTCAGCAACAGGGTACCCCAAGGCTATTGCTGAGGTCCTCAAGGCAAGTGCTCCAGCTCCTCAACTGGTTTCTGTGAGTTTTCTTAGGAGGCTGATCCTTGGCTTTAGTTTCTCCTTTGTTTGTTCCAGATGGCATCGGAAGGAGAGCGTGTGGTCAAGTGTTATGCCTAGGTATTTGGGATGAGGCTTGTAGGCAATCTTTTCCCCACAAAAAGTAACATCAAGTTTTGCACTGGTTGCACAATCGCAATCTCTCAAAACTGTCAGCCAGATGCTAACATCCGCCTATTGATCATATCTAACTATCTACAGAAGTGGCGTCTCACACTGAATCCAAACAAAACTGTGGTTACAGTTTTTCATCTAGACATCTGAAATGCTGCCCCATTCTGTAATGGGGGAGTATATTCTTGCAGTATATTCTTTAGGCACTAGATCTTTGTATGCTCTGCAGAGTACTAGAGAAGGTGTGTTTCTGGTAAACAATGGAAACTAAGCTGAATCTCAAGCTGTGCAGAAACCTGTTTGTTCATGGTTCTAATTGCAGCTGTTTGGATTTAATAAATACTCCCTGTCTCGGAAAGGCTGCAGTCCCATAAATCTATTAAGCTACTGGCCTCTCCTCTCTATCTCTCTAGCCATTTATATGGGTAGTGTAGACATACCCTATCTCTCTAGCCATTTATATCATACATATAAGTATAATACCTGCTTCACCCATGCTTTCAAATAGTAGTCTCACTCCTTGAGCCAAATAGAACAAACTTTTCCTACCCTTCTTTGTACGTTTATATTAAACCTGAGACTGGCTATGCCTCCTCAAAACAGACCAGGTAGCTACAAACCTCCCTTTCAGAAAACAGCTAGGTTCTGTGCTCGTGGAAAGAAGTGGACAGAAGAACCCCTCAAGATATGTGGGATTCTACCAGGGAGGAAGTATTAGAGAAATGCCCCAGCACATGTTCATTCAGAACCTGGCACATTACATAGTCTGTTCCTGGGTAATTTCAGACATCTGCTAATAGGATGAATAAAAGTTGGTTGGCTATTTCTGATGCTACGTGGAGAGCTACCAAAAGGCTTCAAACCAACAGCTCCAAACCTCATCCAGCTGGGACCATACAAAACAATCACTCACCTGGGACCACACTGGTGTAGGCGACTCCAGACACACGCTGCAATGGGTGCCCATCTGGGTCTTCCCCTGTCACTTTCAACAAGAAGCTTTCTGTGGGTGCCTGGAATTGGGGTCCCACCCAGAGCTGATTGGAGGAGCCATTGGAGAAACGCCGCATTGGCAAGGAGATGACAGGCTGGCCAGAGCTATTATACAGCTCCACATCCTTCAGGTGTCCTGGGGACTCCAAGCCAGTGCAGTTAATCAGGACAGAAGTAGGAAGCCCTGCAGAAATGGAAGCAGAGGGAAGGGCAGCAGAGGAGACGGGATACATCCAGGTCAGAGTGATTGTGAAGCACTGAGTCCTTTCCTCTGCTACAGACATCACCCCCATAATTCCTGGGTCTTAGCAACCAGGCAGCTGACAACACTGTTGTCCCTGCTCATCAGTCCTGTCTCATTGTTGCTAAGGATCCCTAGCCTGTCTGCAGCCCCCCGTTGTCCCATCTTATACTTCGACTGCAGACGCCTTGGGACAGTGGCTGTATTTGTTCTATGTTTGTACAGTGCCTAGCACAATGTGGCCCTGTCTATGTTTGGGGCCCCTAGGCACTATCGGCATATAAATATCATGCCTCCTGATTCCAGGCTGGATTGCAGCAAGTTGTGCTCAAGGCTTCTCTGAAGGCCACTCAAGGCTTCAGCAAATGTGGAACGTAGCAACTTGCTCCCTGAGCCCAGCTGAGAAGTGGGACCCCACTCGTCGTAGGCTCCATTTGCTTTCCACCACACCCTATGTCTTATGGACATCACTGTCCCTGCCATACACACACACACACACACGCGCGCCATGGGAAGCACAGGAAGTACCATGCACTGGCCGTTCCCTGGGATGGCTTAGGTTGAACGTAGGCTGGGAGGAAAAGCTGGCTCGGAAATCGATGGTGCTGACACCAGTGATTCTCACCGAGTGGCGGCCGCTGCTCTGGATCTGAAAACGAGACACACAGCAAATAGAGACATAACATCAGCCCGTGTAAAAAGGGGGTAGCTCTGACTTGGGAAGCCACCAACCATGCGGGACCAGAAGACAGGGAGGAAGAGAAAGACTGTAGTGAGCCACAGAGAGACCTTTTCAACAGCCTGCATTCTGAGCAAGCACATGCTTCCGTCTGCAGCCCTGAAGGACCACAAGAAAGTGACCGAACAAGCGGATTGGGGGTGGCGAAATCTTGATGTTCAGTGAGGCCATTGATTTTGATGGAGTTTCATCCTGACGCCAGTAGAGAAACTGGCCTTGGCACTTTAGAGATGACTTCAAAGTGCCCTTGGCAAGAAGTCCCATGCCCCTATTTATTCCATGCTTCATAGAGTAAGCCCAGTGGCCAGGCCTGAATGGAGCTGGTAGTAGAAGGGGAAAACAGCCCCTGGGTCAGTCTCCCCTTGTGCATCTGGAACAAAGTTTCTGCTAGAGACACAGCTCCCAGGGGGAGCAGGGGACTAGAGAGACAACACTCAGGTGCTACAAGGAAGGACACACACACTGGCACCAGAATGAGGCAGATGTAGCCTTTCCACCCCAGAGAGGGGACAGACCGGGGGCAGCAAGCTGGCGATGAGACACTAAAGTTGCACTTTGTATGTTTCTCCGTGTCTCTTGTCCTGGCCAGATATGAGCACAATGGGCGTGTGGAAGAACCTCTCAGGCAAAGGGTTTTGCCTGCTCTAGGATACTGGCCTAGATAGACCTAGCCCAGTGATTCCTTTTGCCTCCATCCTACCTTGACTGACCACACTCCTGGCTGGCGGGGTTTGACCGTCACCACCTTGGCGGAGTTCGGGATGTCCAGGTGTTCTTCCAGGCCCCAGCCCTTCTGAAGGATCTTGCCTGCACCATCAAGCAGAATCCATGGGTTAGCGCCTCCAGTTCCCTGCTCATGCGTCCCCAGGAGGGACACCCCAGCCCCGCCATATTCAACAAGCCAAGCCCAGCAGATCTGCCCAGAGAAAGGCAGAAGCCTGGTCCCTGAGCTGCCTGGTCCCGGGAGAAGTCTCAGTACAGCCTTCAGGGCTGCTTTCTGCTCAGTATCCGACCCTTTTGTAGCTCTGAGTGGCTAGACATGGACTCAGCACTGTATTTCTACATACAACGGGCCCAGGGAGCTCTCTTCCCACCAGGTTGTAGTGCCACTCCCAATACTGCTGCCCCCTCCATAGACCCTGCGCCCCTGGAGAAAACAGCCTGGGATCCTAGCACTCTCCTACACTAGCCCTGCCACACTAGCGGCCCCTTCTCCATTTTTGTTGGTAGTTCCTCATCCTTCCCTCACCCTCTTCTCTAAGGAGGACACCTCCCCACCCAGTGGCCCTGCCTCTGCCCACCTATGACCACACGCCTGCCTACCCACGTCCTCCTTTGCTCATTTTAAAGGCTCATGGCTTCTTGGTCCCTTCCGTGGGACCCAGACAGTTGAGAGAGTCGCTCATTCACCGAAGCTGCCCTTCTACCTGCATCACTCCCTTCCCAGCCCCCAGCTCACTCCTCTTTAAATCTAGGCCTTCTAGTCTCCCTCAAGCCTTCAGTGTTGTTTGCAGGCCCTTGGCTCACCCCACGCATTGACAATGCCCTGAAAGAGCCAGTTGCGTGGGGTAATTTCAGTGGCTGAGGAGCAGCTACTGTCGATCGGCATTCGTCAGCTGGCAGCTGGGAAGAAAAGCCCAGAAGGGATCAGGGAAAGGCAGCTCTTATAAAATTAAAGTATGAATTTAACATGGAAGAGAGACACTTGGGAGCTTGGTGAGGCCTTTGTAGCTCATTACGTTTTGCTGAACAGATTTTTGCCCTGTGGCTAGTCACTCTCTGAGCAGCTCCGTTTGGTTAGTCTCTGGTCTCAGTCTCCCTCACCAAACTTCCCCCCAGATGGATCCTCAAGAGGGATGAACTTAGGTCCCTTTTAGCTCTGTGCCCCAGCTCTCTGCCACTTGAGCCAACAGGCCTGCACCTAGCCAGTGTCGGCTGCTCACTGGGCTCTCCCTGTGGCCGGAACTGTCCTCTCCCTGCCTGAGGCTGGGACCTGCTCGCTGCCAGCGCCCTGGTACGTACCTGCCGGATCCCTGACTTCGATCTCCGGAGCAGGGCCGCTCACGGAAATGGTGACTTCTTTCAGGCTGGGGTCAAAGGGCACCCGCCAGGTGTGCTCTCCCCCCCGTTCGTGGTCTGTGGACAGCAGGTGGACTTTGGAGGCCTGGATAGCCTCTTCCACCCATTTCAGCACCTAGGGAGCAGAGGGGGGGATGAAGAGCAGGACCCCAGGAACGGAAGGCACCTCACATGGGGTCCCCAGAAGGCTCTCCAGTGTGCCAGCAGGGCACAGCCACTGAGATATGGGGAAAGGGCCTGTTGTCGGGGTAGTTGCCCTGGTTACCTCTCACCCCACGGTGCTGTCACAAAAAGGGCCAGGCACCAAGAAGACACACTGCGTGTATACAGAGATTAGTTCAGCTGCGTGAGCAGGAAGGACAGAGCCTTTGCTGGGTTCACCATAAAGATCCTGAGCATCAACTTGTATACAGAGATTAGTTCAGCTGCGTGAACAGGAAGGACAGAGCCTTTGCCGGGTTCACCATAAAGATCTTGAGCAACAACTCGACAGGAGGCAAGGCCTGGCTCCTCCAGGGACAGCCCGCTGTCCCTTTAATGGGAACTGCACGTCCCCCAGCCATCATGACGCTATCATAGTGCACGGCGGGAGCTCTTACGGGGAAGAGAGCAGGCTAGGAAGGGCACAGATCTATATCAGAACCCCCACTACGCCCAAGGGCCGAGGCATACACAGACAGAGCACAGCATGTGCAACACGGGCACTCCTGAGACACCACAGGAGGGGGCTGAGCTGGGGGGGGGACAACACAGGAGAA